AAATCATATCTATTGTGATATTTGTCCTTTTAATTCTTTTATTTTTGTGCAAGAAATATGTTAAAATCATAAAATTGAACTAGTGTTGTAGCACCATACAGTCAGCACTATAGCTCCATATCTTTCCCCATTGTCGTAGTGCCACCACTTTAGCAACACAAATAGAGATGCCTCAAAATAATTGTTGGAGAGATTAGCACCGAGGCGCTATCCAGGAAGCATTGTAATGCTGGATCAAGCATTGCAGCACCAAATTGCCCAACTCCATAGTGGGAGATAGTTAGGCCAGTGAAGCGATGTGATGAATGGTGAACTGACATGCTAGTTTAGTAGCACCGTAGAGCCACCAAGTTAGTGTCGCAATGCTAGTTTAGTTATTTTATAAAAGTTAAGAGTAGCCTCAGTGTTCATGTAAAGAGGTTGGCACTTCAAGGAGACGTGTGTGTGACAGAGTGAGTGTGAAAGACTATTCTAAAGGGAAATTGGCTCTTATGTATTTATTTGGAGTCTTGTATTGATGTAGATCAAAGTGGAGGAGTGAAAATGAGTTTGTACTTTGGATTTGGGTCACTTATAACCTTTCTTCTATCTTTTGTATTTTCATTATTGTTTACTGTCATAAGCAATATCTTGTTTTGATTGGCCAACTCAAACCACACCATGTCCTGTATCACAACACACTACCAGAAAATTACAGCCCAACCCTCTAACATCTATGTCCAAAGGAGGTCTCCTATATACTAACCAAATAATATTTTGATGCCACTTTTCAAACAGGAAGAGGAAGGTCGTTTTGTTGATGAAAAGCATAGTCTTTCAGTTCTTAAAATTTCAGGATGTTACAATCTAGACTTTCTGAACATCAATTCCGACAGTTTGTCAACGCTATGGCTTTCAAACTTTTAATACATATCTAAAATGGTATCTATTGGGCATATTAATGATCATGTCTAGATAGCATGTTGACTTGCCTTTTCATATACTAACCAAATAATATTTTTTTCATAGGTTTTACACTACCCAAATCTTAAAGATCTTTCTTTAAGTTTCATTCAGAAAATAAATTATCCAACTAATATGGTTAACATGATGGATTCTCATGGGCGTGGGTGTCCAAGTTTAAGAAACATTAATATTGCATCAGCCGTTCTTTTCAATGATGCTGTACGTGCTTTGTCAGATGCAAATATTAGGTATGGGTTCACTCATGTTCAGTTTAGCTTGTTCTTTCAATAATTTTCTTGAATTAATGTGAATTCAATCTCATCTATGCTTAAACATTGTAAATATAAGTGATCAATACTTGTGAAACTGACATGATAGTAGCAATCAATATTGTGACGTTCTATGCTTAATACACCAAATTACTTCAAATCTTAGTTCCAGAGATGGCCCAAACTTTGCTCTAAAATTCCTACACTTTAACACTATTGCAAAACTTTTTGACATTGTTTTCGTAAAACCTTGAAATTCATTCAAAATTTGCTCTAAAAATTTTGGTCTTCAGCAAAATTAATGAACATAGGATCTATTCACTTAAGATCCAAAGCCATTTTAGGCTTTGTTTTGAAAATTTCTAGCTTTAGTGTTTTGTACGTTAGACCAACTTGGAGCTAAGTTTACATGTTCTGAAATCTTTAGAACCATCCCAAGGCTGTACTTCAGCTCCATTGATTTAAGGGGCTGTTAGGTATGTAGAATTAGGAGGGTAAAGTAATTTATTTACGTCCATTTCATAAATTAGATCGCTTGGTTAGTTTTGAGCGGAACTCAAGTAATTCATCCAAAGCATTAGTGGTGTATTGAAACAGGCCGTTCGTGCCACTTCAAAACCCGCTCGAATTGAGCATGTTAGAAATCCTCGCGCGAAATAATGAGAAGAGCGCGAAATCCAGATCCATCCGCAGGCAGCGTGGTGTATTGCAAAGCCAACGTGACCAAATCCTCGGCCAAATCGGCCTCCCCGTCTTCATGAGCCTCTTCACCTTCATCGGCCTCGCTGTCACCTCCTCATCCCAACTCCTCCTCGACCAGATCATCTCCGACCCGATCCACCTCCTTGATTTAATGGGCGGCGGCCCAATCACCAAACTCGTCACAAACGGTTTCAATGTGGGTGAAGTTCGAATCAGCTTAATGAACTTTTTGCTACTTTGAATCTTTTTAAGATAAAGTAAACTGTTTTTGTTTTGATGATGGCATTCATGCTCTTCATTTTTTTTCTTTGGAAGAAATCTGTTCAGAGTTTTTATAGTTGCATCTTGTGTTGGAGTTATATAGTTATGTATTTCTGCGGATGATAAATGATTCCTAGCTGAAATCTGTAACAGAAACAGAGCTTTTATGTAAGGCATTAACTGTGTGTGTGTGTGTTTTGATTTCAATGGCATCGGCTTTTATGAGCTAAAATAGAAAACAATATTCAAGAATCTCCTGAACTTTCTGTTACAGGTAATATTTTTATCTGTTCAATTTCTAAAATCTTTCAGTGATCCACTTTTTCCTGAAAGTGTCCCACCTCTGTTCTTCGTAGTGAGAATTCTTGAGATCATGATTGAACAGGAATTATACAAATATAACTTTGAAATGATTTGGATTCAGAATTTTGTAAAGCACGTACATCAGATCCTAATTTAAAAGATCTCTTTCAGACAGTTGTGGGTCAACATCAGTTCTAGTTTTTATTCTCAGATATTCTTTGATTTGCCAGCAATGGATGTGCGAACAAGACATTATGCATGGAAAAGCTTTCACTGGTACTCCCTGAAAAACCACCACTCTTGCCACGACAGTTTGCTCGCTGTGCAGTTTAGGGTAATTCTAGTGATCTTCTGAAACCTTTTTTATTCTATTTTTTAAAGAAAAAATACCTTGCAAGTCTTTTATTTCATCTCTGAGGACATGAAATGGATATTTCCTTTTGCAGTTGACAGTATGTGATGCTCTGAACTCCTCATTAGACGAGGAGATGGCAGCTGATCCAAAAGTCTTCATAATGGGTGAGGAGGTTATATATTTTTTTTAAATGAAGTGGCTAACCTTGCATCTCATTTCTTTTCACTTTTGTAATGGTTTTATTTCCCGGTTTAGGCTGGAGAATATCAAGGAGCTAACAAGGTCCTCTGGAATGAGTATTAATATGATGGAACAATTTCAGGTAGAATTAAATTTGCCATAGCCGAATTATCACTTAATGGACTCTGGAATGAGTATCCGTAATTCTAGTTGGCGATGATCAGCATTCCCAAGATAGCATGATTGACATTGATGAAGAGGCTTTAGAATGTAGAAAGCCAAATTCTATGCATAAGAAGCTGTTAATCAAACATGAATGGTTGTTCATTAAGTTGCAACCAGAGTTAAAAAATGTGGGAATAAGGTGGCAACTTTTAGGAACGATATTTCAGAGATTATATTTTGTATTTTTAATTGATGAATGTATTTTTAAAAGTATATAAATGAATATAATTTTCATTTCTTCTAGTTAATTCTTATTTACTATATTGAAGAATGAATATTTTTTTATTCAGAAATTATTATTTTTGTTACCTCAATGTTATAAAATTAGTGTTTTTTGTTTAATATGTATTTTATGTCTAATTAATTAGAAGTAATTAGATATGATAATATCAAGGAGTGATTGATTAATCTTAAATCTTTTAGTAAATGTATAATAATTGAATAATAAATAAATTTTACTAAATATGACCAAAATTGATATGCATTAATAATCACATTTCATGAAATTAAAAGGGCTTGTGATTTACTTGGTTGCTCTTTTTTGTGACCAATTTTTATTTTGGTTGCTATTAACAAATGTGATAAATAAAATTAATAATTAAAATATTAAATAGCATCCAAATAATTAATCATTAGGGTCAAAAAAAAAATGGTCGCTAAAATGGTACATTTTAGCGACCAATACTAATTAGTGGTCGCTAATTTAGCAACAAAAAAAAAATTTTGGTTGCTAAAAGCCTCAGCGCGAGGCTACTGCGACAAATCAGCGACCTAAATATTTTTTGTAGCTATTTGCTTTAGCGGCCAAATTAACATTTTTATCTACCAATTTTGTTGGTCGCTAATTACATATTTTCTTGTAGTGATTTACCTTCTACAATTGAAGCTTTTTTATATTTAATTTGCATAACCTACTTTAAATCATATGGCAAGATAAATAGAGTAAAATTCAAGCTCCCTGTGGGAATGATATTCTTCTCACCACTTTATTACTGACATGACACATGTACTTGCATAGAACAAGGTTCATACCTTAGTAAATTAAATAATATTTAGATGAACAAGTGGTGTGTATAAGTAAAAGTGAAGTTTGTCTAGTTATTAGCATCGTTACCATGGAACATTGGAATTAATTATCCTATTTTGCATTTTATATTGATGAATAAACTGATAATTTAATCTAATTTTAATTTTATTTTACCTGCTTAGTGTTGCCTTGCTTATTATTAATTGTTACTATTTAGTGCTTTATGTATTTTCTATTATATTGCTTACTGTTGTATGCATAGTAATAAATAACTAGTAGAAATCTTATTAGACATTAAATTTGAGAAGACCCTTCAAAAATTAGAAAATTTTAAAATTACAAAAAAACTTGAAATGACCGAGCAAATCCAGAAAATGATCAACCTGGATCACTTATAGAATATGCTAACACTATGGTTGAAGGCATTCATCAAAGCATAAATAGACCTAGCATTCATGTTAATAATTTTGAATTGAAATCTATAACAATTCAAATGGCACAAAACTCTTAGTTTGGGAGAACTCCAATAAAAGATCATAATTGGCATATAGATGGTTATCTTAAAATATATACAATGGTGTTCATGATGATGTTGTTAGACTTATGTTGCCTCCTTTCTCACTTAGGAATAATGCTAAGATGTGGTTAAATTAATTCCCATATAATTAATTATAACTTGGAATAGCATGTTCACAAATTTTTAGCTAAATATTTTCCCTTATCTAAAATTGCTAAGCTTAGAAATAATATCATCTCATTTACCCAGTCAAATGATGAATCTATTTATGAGTCATGGGAGAGATTTAAAGAACTCCTTAAGAAATGTCATCACCATGCCCTCCCTTATTGGCCAATCATTCAAAACTTTTATAATGACCTTATAGGTTCTCTTAGATCAATCATTGATGCTACCACAGGACGTACCTGATGTCAAAGCCCTTTGATGAGGCATATACTTTGACTAAGAAGATGATAACAACAAATTTTCAATGGCTAACAAAATCTTGGGAAGGTAGCTAGTGTTTATGAATCAAATGCTCTATCAATTTTAACTACACAAGTAGCTACCATATTTAGAAAATTATATAATCTTGGAATCAATTCATCTTTGATTGTAAAAGAGAATATCTTTAGATCCTCTAACGACCCAAATGTTTAATGAGTAGAATCCCTTAGTGCCATTAATAATAGAACTAATAACCTTTTTAAACCCCTTATAATCTTGGTTGGAGAAATCATCCCAATTTTAAGTGGAGTAATAATCAAAATGGTAATAATAATTAGAGCTCTAACTAACCACATCAAGTAGAAAATCGAAACCACCCACTTCAAAATTTCATAAACCCACATAGTAATCCCCTTTGATTTCATTTAAATAGTGAACCTAAGGATAGGAAGTCTTTATTAGAAGAATTAGTTTTGCAAATGGGCATGCAATTGCAAAGTTAGGTTGCTACCATTAGAAATGTTGAAAATTAATTAGGATAGTTAGCTGGATCTTTAACCAATAGACCCTTTGAAATCTTATCTAGTAAAACATAAGTAAATCCTAAAAGAAAAGAGCAAGGAACAATACAAAGCTAGACAACTGAGTGGAAAAGAACTAGAGAAAGCAGTTAATATGAAAGAGAAACCAAATAATGACATTATTGAGGAAACCATATTAGACCTTGTTAATAGTGAAGAGTCATCTCAACCTACTATAAAAATAGATAAACTAATTAGAAATATAGTTGAGAGACCACTACCATTTTTTTCTCAGAGATTGCTAAAATAAAACTTTGATAGTTAGTTTTCTAGATTTTTATAGATCTTTTAAAAGTTGATTATTAGCATACCTTTTGCTCCAATTCTAGAAATCCTTTGGATTTATACTAACTCATAATATTAAAAATATTTCATTAACAATTACTACCATTAATATTATTAATAATAGTTATAATAATTTTATTATATTTCATTAGAATATTTAAAAATAAAAAATATATCAAAAAGATAATAAGTTAAATACGTTGACTTGGGTTAAACATGACACATTGAGTTTGCCTTTTATGAAATATTTAAATAAATGATAACAAAATTTTCTCTTAAATTTTAAAATGTTTGAAATATTTAAAAGGTAATACTAAATAAAGTAATTATATATAAGAAAATGAGAAAAGTTATGCTCATAATATTACGAGGTGGTCAATAAATTTGTATTTAGCATATTGATTAGTTTTAAAGTATGATTATATAGTATTAATTAAATTTAAGTGATAATAATAATATTATTTAATAATTGTTATTTAATCTCATAATTAGTGTATAGCTTATGAAAGGAGGGCAGTAAATGTTACATTAAAGGATACATGCATGGAATTCATAATAGCTAGCTCAATGACAAGAGTGCACATAAGATGAAAATAATTTGAGTGTCAAAGAAGAGAGAGAAAAATCAAGGCTACAATTATATTTTGGCGAGTTTACTAAGATGATTTTTTAAGATTTATAGTATGTCATTCTCTTATTTTACAATTCAATAGATTTCCTTAATGTATAATGTTTTCAAAGATGATATGTGATGGAAAATGAATTCTTATGTGAAGTTATGCATGTTTTTATAACTTATTCTTTGATGATGAAAGCATTTTTTTTTATTGAACTAGTTATGATTCATACATAAAATTTTCTATTATATATTCATAAAATATCCACACCTTATTAAAATCTTGATTTAATTCACATAACATTTTATAACTACAAGGATATAACTTTGAATATTGGATAATCAATTCATAATTTATGATACAAAAATATAAGTTAATTTGCTATATTGTATAAATATCTTGTGTAAAGTAGAAACCCCTTCTAACTAGAAAATTTATAGACTTCTATCATGGTTGTGCTAGAATTTCAAGCATATCTCACAATATTTAGAAATAAATACAAAATACTTCAGATGTGACAATTCATTTAGACTTATATACTTTTTAACAGAAACAACATGCAAATCATGCTTATGTCACGACTTAATATTTTATATAATAATGATATTAGCAAGATGAATACATGCAATTCCTATTGATGTTAGTATGACAATCTTTGTTATGATAGGGAAGAACCACCATGCAACTGCGATTATAATAATCAAATATGACATAATATAATTATTAGTTATATGATATAAATGATCCACATATATTTAAGATAGCCAATATAATTATTATTTATATTTTCTATAGTTTTGAAGCCATTACAAATGTCACGCCCTGGGATCTAAAGTGAAAGAATTTCTTTTCTTTTCCCGTTATTTTTTCAACTTATTATATTCATTTTTCTTTCAGTTATCAACCAATAATCATTTAATTACAACCGAATTAATTTTGACATTTAGAGTTGATTAATTGTATTAAAGAAAATAAATAGAAGCTGAAAAAATATCATCACATATTTATAGTCAATATTTACATTCTATAACGAGTACAATATAATATTTATAATAATCACTGCATACTACATAAGAATACATCTAACCAAATAACTTCAAATAAATCAAAATATCATCACCACTAAGCCTCAAACTGCAGGTCCTTTATCTTTACCTGAAATTATGTAAAATCATATAATTAGCATAAAAGCCCAACAAATAATTGAAATTAATGCAAGATCAAATAGAAATAGTAAGCTACAAAATAATTTAAGTCAATGCATCAATATATGCTATATGTAGCGGTCAACTGTGTTAATTTATCAATTCTATTACAAATCACATCTTGTTTTGTCTGTCAATCAACCAGTAATTCTATTTTTATATTTCAATTAGTCTTATTCAATAAGTTAATCTTATCATTCATTAAATTATCTTAAATATTTAATTATCTATAAAGTAATTGTATCAATATATTTATTATATAATGTATACATAATATTTTTATCATTTATCAAATATTCATATAATGATATTTAGATCTGGCTCATGCTTTTATGACTCTCGATCAGTCACCCCTTATGTCTCCCAACCAATAAACTCCTTAGAACTCTCAATCAATGAATCACATGGATCAATCGCTTTGACTTCTTTTAACTCCCAATCAGTCTCCAACTTCTTATGACTCCCATTAGTGAATCAATGTATCTTGAGTGTATCACATAGGGTTATCACATCATGTGTGTTCGGTATTAGTCAATACATCATTTCTATTAAATTAATATTAGTTCAAAACATTATTTCAATACATTTTCATCACATCAATTGTATCAGACCAAATCACATTTCAATAATTTCATATCAGATCATAATACATAACTTTTCAAACCATTTTTAATATACCTTTTTACTACCCATTTTCTAAAGAAATTCTTATACACTTATTTAACCAATGAAAATACAATAAAATTCTATCAAATCATTTAGCATGATCAAATCTATAACCTATTAAAAGCTACACATTGAAAGCTTACAAAATCAAGAGAAAATGTATTTTTGATAGATCTAGTAAGGATAAAATTTATAAAAATTAAAATCATCTAAAACAAAAGTAAGAGAATAGTCACTTTTATTATATAAATTTTTTTATAATAGAAGTGATGGACAAAAAGCCTTGGAGAGTTTCCTCTCTCTTCTTCTATCTCCTCTCCCTCTCCCTCTCCCTCTCCCTTCTCCCTTTGCTTCCTTAGCAAGCCACATGAGAATGAGGGAAAGGTGGTGGCACGAGAGGGCTTTTAGTGCTAGGATTTGATTAAAAAATATATAGAAATATTGTCCGTGGCTAGTGTTGCATCACCCCGACCCAACGACGCATGTTGAATTTAGAATTAATGTATAACATAGGCTTCAATGCCGCGATGGTGATTTTTGGTGCCATTGCGCTCAAAGGCTAATGCCTCAATGCTCACAATTTTAGTGTCACAATGCTCTAATTTAAATAGGAATCCAAACATTTCATTTTAAAATATGTTTTCATATTTTGGATTGTTATAAAGGTTTATTTAGTTGAAAGTATTCAATTTACCTGCATTTTAAACACTTTATGTTACATTTGAATAAAAAGAAATGTAATAAATTTTTAAGGAATTTGAAAAATGCAAAATCTCATATTTTCTGTGTTTGTAAATTGTTTAAATAGCCAGATTTCAAATGCTTCATTCATTGTTCATTTTCACCTCCACACCTATTGCCCCTCGTCAGTGTCCCTCATGCATCATCAAATAAATTCAAAATATTTTGATATATTTCTTTATTCATCAATTAAAAAAGTCATGCATTTTACTTTATAGTTTTAGAGGAATTTAAATACATGCCAATTTTTTTTTTTTATATATTTACATATGTAACTTCTGAAATTTTATATTTAATTATATATCATTCTAGTATCTAAATTTCATCAATAAATCAAAGTGAGTATTTTATTTTAAATAAGTTAGTATTAATGATATTTTAATGTAACTTAAAATTTTAAATATTATATAAATAAATATATATAAGTTTTTTGGTATGTAAATCCTTCATAAATTTGCATTGAATATTTAAAAAAGATCTAAATGTTCTTACAAAATGACTAATTTTACATATATTTAAAATGTCAAAGGATTAAATTAATATTTTTATATAAAAGAAGACTATTTTGATCATTTGGAAAAAAAGAATCAATTCCATCGTTTATTCAATTTTTTTTTTAGACATTTAGACCAATTAAATCAAACTCATACATATATCACATATGCAAGACTCAAATCCAATACATCTTTGTTGATAGTCAAAACTCCCAACCAATAGAATAAGGTGAGCTGTGTCATCTAACAACCCCTAAATCATTTTTGGGCTAGGCCAAAATTAGAGTTGAAGTAATACATGAGCT